CAAAGAAGAATTCAATGCAGAAAGTGCTACCTTAACCATAAATAATTATTAAGCTTATTTCGTATAAAAATAGTGAGAGAATGGAACCCTGAAATGAGAATAAAAAGTTTGACGCTGAAGAACTACAAGAGCTTTAAGGGCACTCATAAGGTGAGTCTTGGTGAAAAGAGCATTGTATTGGGCAGAAATGGATCGGGAAAATCAAATTTGCTTAGTGCACTTTTTAGTGTATTTATGCATGATAAATTCAAGGATGAGGAGAAAGTTCAGTACAATAAAAATGAGGAGGAATCATTTGTGGAAGTTGTATTGGAGAATAAGGAGAGGAGACTGGCAGTGGATTCTGACAAAGTCATCATCAGGAAGAAGTTTGCCTATTCTGGAACAACCTGTGAAATTAATGGGAAATCAGTCACGAAGGATGAACTAGTTGGTCTCTTTGAAAGTGCTGGATTACACAAATACAATTTTATAAGTCAGGGATTTGATTACATTTCAGACGTAGCCAACTTGATCAATCGGGTTTCAGGCGCCAATAAATTCGAAGAAGTGAAGAAGATTGTGAACAGGAATTTGGATGCGAGTGAAATAGACGACATGCTTGAGAAATTGGAGTATAAGAAGTTGAAATACAACGATTTTGTACAGAAAATGAGCAAATTTGATGAGTTGGACAAAAAGAGAAAGGGATGCGAGTTGGAGTTGGCGAAAGACGAATTGAGCAAAATAACGAAGGAAATTGAGCAAATTGAGAAGAATAATGCGCCTGAAACAAAGGAGAGTGATGAATTGGTTGAATTGAAGATTGAGGAAGTCAGACGGAATATCCTTGGAAAAATGAAAGAAAAACATGCCATAATCAGTGGAATATCACATGTTGAGAATATTGATATTTTGAACAGTCTCATTATCAGCAAGAATGAACAAGAAGTTCTTTATAGAATTATGGGAAAGAAGGAAGCAGGGGCTATTGAGAATCTGCTTACGAAAACAAAGGTGCTTGAGAATTCAGCAACTGAAAAGGGAAAGTTGCTTGAAGCAGGGGAATCCAAGAAGACGGAGAAGGAGATTCTGATTCAGGCAATAAAATATTTTGATGCAATGGGAACAAAGAAGGAGGAATTAGATGAGTTGGTTTCAAAATTGAAGGATTTGAAGGTGAAGAGCAAACAAAATATCGTAAAAAGTAGAAAAGAGGCATTTTTGAAGAAGAATCAGCTGAAAGAGGAGCAGAAGAGGCTTTCTGATAAAGTATCGAAGTTGCAAAACAGGCTTCTTTACCTTGGAAATCAGCAAATCAACATTTATGATCATATTAAAGAGACAAAGGGTGTTTTGGGATGTGTGTACGATTTGATTGACGTGGATACGAAGTATCTGAAGGCATTTGAGGCTGTTGCTAAGAATACGATGTACTACGTGGTTGTAGAGAACACACAGGTTGCAAAAGAGTGCATTCAGAAAATAGGAAATAGGGGCAGATGCACGTTCATTGATTTGAGTAGGCTGAATCCAGGCGTAAAGAATGCAATTGGTGGGCTGAATATGCTAAGTGATTTCATTAGACCAAATAATCCGAATATCAGTGGAATATCCAATTTGATCAATTTCATAACCAAAAACTACTATGTTTCACCAGAAATAGAAAAGGCCCTTGGAATCAGAAACAGGTACAGTGTGAATGTGGTGACATTGGATGGTGAATCAATTGAAAGAAATGGATCAATCACAGGTGGATACGAGAGAAACAACGAGTGTCTATTGGAATTGGTTCGGGTGAAGAAGGAATACGCTGATATCACAGATCAGTTGAAACAATTCATTGATTTGGATTCATTTGATTTGAATACGAATATTCAAAAAGAAGCATATTTGAAGTACTTGGAATTCAAAATAGAGTTGCATAAAAATAAGAAGATTAAGCTTAATAAGGTAGAGGATGAAGAGAAGGAACTAAGAAGAATATGTAGTGAAATAGAGCATTTGAAGAAGGAGATAGTGTATATTGGAAGAGAACTAGACAATCTGAATAACAATAACAAGTTGATGATTCTGAAAAAGATAAAACAGGTTCTGGTACTGAATAAGGAACTATGTGAAATCAAGTTGGAGGAAACGAGTCTAATTAATCAGCTGTATAATGAGAATACTGCAGTATCAGGGGAAATGCTTGGAAAGAGGAATATTCTGCTGGAAAAGAGATCGAAACTGATGAAGAAGCACAATATTCTATCAATGAACAATCTGGTTGAAAAAGACGATGTGGAACTGAATCAGATCAAAAACAACCTGAAATCCGTGCTAACGGAACTGAAGGTCTACAGCTCATTCAACTTCAATGTCAAAAACAGGGAGAGAATGATGGATTTGGATCGAGTCAGGGACGAATTGAATGAGTTGAAGAACGATAAGCAGAATATTGAGAAATATGTTGAATATTTGGAGAAAATCAAAGACGAGAGAATTGGCACCGTCTTTGATTCAGTGGCCCATAATTTTGCTGAAATATTCCACTTCATCACTGGCAACAAAATCAGCCTGGAACAAGTGAATAATCAAATTCAAATCAAATTGGACGATGAAATCATCGAGAACCTGAATGGGCTGAGTGGTGGACAGAAAACAACATTTTCATTGGCTCTGATGCTTGCTGTACAGCGAACTGATCCCAGTCCACTCTACATCTTTGATGAAATTGACGCAAACTTGGATAGCACATTTTGTAGCAGAGTCTACGATCTGCTTAGGGAAACAAATGCCCAATTTGTGATCAGCACTTTCAAGAACATCTCAAACACAGACCTTGGAAGTGGCACGAAGTATTTTGGGGTGATGATGGAGGATAAAACAAGCCAAGTTGGTGAAATATCAAAGGAAGCAGCCACTGAATCACTGAAAAGGTAGGTTAGGTAGTTAGTTATTGACTGGATAACACCAATCTGCCTAACCAACTATTTATCTATTTAACTACCATTTCTACCATTTTCAGGATATCTTTTTGGAACCCATGTTTGATAAGCCATGTTCATTCAAGCCAGACCGAGTCAGGGGAATCTGCTACAGCCCTGGTAACATCGTGTACATGCGTCTGACCAACTTCCAGACATTCTCAGACCAGGAATTCTACTTCAGTGAGAAACTGAACTTGATAGCAGCACCAAATGGAACTGGAAAGAGTTCATTGGCCAATGCAATTGCATTCGTATTCAATGGGACAACCAGAACAATTGGAAAGACGAAGGATGTGCTGGATTTCATCAAATTCAAGGAAGAAAAGGCAGAAATAATTTGTGTAGTGGCCCAGAAGCCAAATGGGGTCACTGATTCAATCAAAAAGCAGAAGACTGGAAACTACGTGGAATTCAGGCGAGTTATTCAACGAAAGAGGGCCAAGGCCGAAAGCATCTTCTACATCGATGAAACTCAGAGGAATTCAGCCGATTATGGCGCATTTATTGGGAGAATGAAGATCGACTGTGACAACCTGACCAATTTCCTGCCTCAGGAGCGTGTGGCTGAGTTCGTGAGGATGTCAGGCGACAAAATGTTCAACGAGGTGATGAAGGACGTTCTGATGGGCGAGAAGTGGACGATAGGAGAGAAATTGGGTGAGTTTGAGAAGACGAAGAAGGAGTTGGATGGAACTAAGACTAATTTGGAATCATCGAATAAGCAATTTACGCTTCTAGAACAAAAAAAGACGATGTTGGAGAAGGAAGTTGATAAAATAAGGGAATTTGAGATAAAACAGAGGGAAATACGCGTATTGCAGTACAAGGAGTTCTATTTGAGGAAGAAGAAGGAGATGGAAGATATGAGGGGGTGGAAAGAGGTATTGGATGGAGTAATAAGCACGAAGGATGACAACGAGAAGCAGATTGGGGCATTGGTTGAAATAGTAGGAGCAGCTGAAGAGAGTACGATGATGAAGGAGTTTTATGCAAAGGTAGAAATCTATTTGAGGGAGAATGTGGGTCTGAGGGAGCTAGTTGGGAAGATGGAGGAGTACAGGAGGGAGTATGTGGCATTTGAGAGGGAGCAGGAGCGCAAGAAGCAGAAGAACAGGGAGATTGAGAAGGAAAACGAGGCAGTGGAGGAAAAGAGGGCCATTTTGGTAGAGAAGATAGGGGAGGAGTTGAGGAGTTACGTGGGATCATTTGACAGGTTCGTGAATGAGGGCGTCTTTGAAATTACGATAGAGAATCAGCCAGTTTCAAGAACGAACAAAATGAAGGAATTAAGCTTAAATGAAATAAGAACAAATTTGACCAAGAGCATAAATGAATGCACAGAACAAACAGTGAGACGATTTCAGCTTCGAGACAGCGCTGGTTCTGACGCGTTGGAGCGGATTCAGCGCCTGAAGATGACTGCGTTACAGAACAAGAAGCTGATTGAGGCCCACGAAACTGAAAGAATCAGGTTCAACGAAAAGGCAGGTCAGAGACTCATGCGCCTAAGAAGCTACCACGAGGACACGTACAGGGCAGTTGAGCACCTCAGACGAAACCAAATTGGCGTCGAATTCTACGAGCCGGCCTTCCTCCACATCGAAATCGACGAGGAGTTCAGAACTGAAATTGAGGCTCTTTTGAATTTCCAGGCACTTTCCTCCTTCCTGGTCAAATCAAACAGTGACATGAAAAAGATGGCTCGCATTTTGAAAGACGAGCTTCGCCTTGGAGTCAACATCTGCACCCTGACGGAGGAAACGAGTCTCCAATCCAAGTTCAACTCCCCTGAAATTGATGGATCTGCAACTGATTTCATCACTTGTAACCCAATTTACAAGCACTTCTTCAACACGTACGGCAGATTCAACGAGATTCCAATTTCAAAGAAGGAAATCAACGAGAAGGCCTTGCTTTCCAAATACCCATTCGTTAGGAAAATGATCATCAATCAGAAACTGGTTGAAATCAAAAGAAACAAATACAACTCAGAAGCCATCCTAAAAACAGATCGAATCAGAGAAATGGGCATTTTCAGGTCGAGTTCACCAAACACAGGCGACTTAGAGCGACTTGAATCAGAATTGAAGGAGTTGAAGAACAAGCGTAATCAAATTCAGGCAGAAATGGGCCATGAAATGCTAAAGAAGCAGCAAATTGATGAAAGAAGGGCAACAATCACCCAACTGAATGAGAAGATCAATGAGAAGTATTTTGTGATCAAAAGATGCATTGATAAGCATTTCACAACTAGTGAGAGATCCCTGTACGATTTGAGTAGTGGCCGTGGTGACGAATGTAGGCGCCTATTCAAAAATGCCTTATCAAAAATGACAGAATTCAAATTGCACCGGATCAACTACAACCAGGCCAAAGAGACTGAAATGAACATCACCAACAACAAAATGCAAATTGAGACGCTGAAGACAGCAACAGTTGCCTTGGTCGAAGAAGTGACCAGGGTGAGAGTAAAGATCAGAGAAAAGGGCGAAATGGTTGGAAACTACCAGGCCATGATGGATGAGATGGAAGCAAATGAGTCAGCGAGAAACAGAAAAATGACAAGAAGGGCCAATCTGACTCAGACACAGGATGGTGGATCCAGATTGTCCCTGATTCAGGTTGGAAGCCAGCAGTCTCAGGACGCCTTGTTCCAATTTGCCGTATCAAATCAAATTGGCTCATTTCGGGAGGAAATCAATCGAAACCAGGCCAATTCCCTAAACGAGGTGATGCAAAGAAGAAGCTACCTTGATGAAATAGTGAGGGGAAATGATTTGGATGAATCAGTGAAACAGGCGTATACGACAGCAGAACGAGACTGGGGCAGAATGGCTGAGGAGAAGAAGTCGTACGAATTGGCCCTGATTGGATTGGAAAAGAAGGCTGATAAAATCAGGGATGCAATTCGCACCGGTGCTACAAATCATGTTGGGCCAATCAGCAGCAGATTCGGTCAGATGCTCAGTCGCCTTGGAAACCAGGGCGAATTGCGCGTAGTCTGCGATTCCGGGGCTGGGAGAGAATTGGCCAAATTCGAATTGCAAATTTGGGTGCGTTTCAAAGAGGGGGAGAATCTGCAGCAGCTGACCAGTTTCAGGCAGTCTGGCGGAGAGAAGTCGCTGAGCACGATGCTCTTTCTCCTGGCTCTACAAAGTGGAACAGACAACTTCAGACTCGTTGATGAAATCAATCAGGGAATGGATCAGAATAACGAAAAACGGGTATTTGAAATACTGAATTTGATGACTGGGCAATTCTTCATCATCACTCCCAAATTGATCAGTGATATCGAATACTCTGAGAACTACAATGTGCTTATTCTCTACGGTGGAACTGGAACCAAGGAAGTCGAAAGGCTGTGACTGATCACTATCGTTTATTGCTCAATCTGCGTCTGATTTCCAATGTGAGCAAATCAATGGAATCAACCAGCTCGTGATTCAGCACAAATGAGTCAAAATCAAATCGATAGAGCATGAAGAAGAAGCAATCTGCCTTCATCATCGACCTCTCAATTGATTTGAGGACACAGGCGACTGTTCTGTTTGCAACTGGGGGCTGGCCAAAATCAATTTCAAGGGAGTTGATTCGATCGAGTGATTTTATGGCGTATCCTCTGAGACGCCCTTCAAACTGGAAATTGGTTCCATCAGCAAAGTGGAAGTTGAGGCCGTCTTCTGTGAAGTGGCATTTCTGTAACCCAAATTTGGATAATCCGCCTACGATGAACCTGAGTGATTCAGGAAAGACGTAGATCATGTTCAGTCTGATGAAGCTGGTTTCAGTGAAGCATTCAGAAAGTGGGATTTCACCAGAAATGTACGAATTGATTTTGGATAGAAGCATTTGAATTAGGGTCTATTGGGCATGGTGAAAATGATGATTGATATGACAGTTGATATATTATGATGCTTTTAATAGGGTAGAATGATACACTGGTAATAGAATGGTATGAGAGTATTAGAATAGTTTACTACTACCAAATTAAGCTTAAATCACATAAATAATCATAATATGCATAGACCCAGATGAACACATTGACTAGAGCAAGGCAGGACAAGAGAGACTTGGAGCTGGTCTACGGCTATGGAACAGGGAGAAGGAGACCAGGCAACAAGCAGCTGCTCAATCTGAACATATCTGCCTTCATATTGACAGTCTACGAAGTCAGTGACTTCAGGGTCTCAGTGACTGTGGTACAGGGCGTATCAATCGTATTCAGGCAGAAGAAGGAGTTCTACAGGAAGGAAATAGGCAGATTCAACAGTCTGGTCAGAAACAAGAATATCAGGGTGAAAATGGATAAGCCGAATAAGGTCAACACGTTCATTAACACCAGCTCAGTGGTACGAGATGCGTCTTCAACTCACCAGAGGGAGCTGGTTCGTCGCAGCAGCTCCACCCTTTTTCGCAGCAACATCGCAGATGAATTGGGCCCACTTTCGTCGATGTCAGTCGAATTCATCGGTGACGTTGAGAAGCCAAAACGAGTCAAATTCGACAAAAAGATCGAACTGGTCTTCAGGGACGAATTTCCTAAGAAGAATCCAAATCAATCGGCCTCATCAAACAGACTCACTGGATACGTCATTGACAGAATCAGTGCAATTGTGGCTGGAATCACCACACTCTCCCACGTCAGAGAGAGCAGCAGTCTGCTTCGTCCTGAATCAACCAATTTCAACGAGATTGATCAACTATTTGATGGTAATCAATTTAATATTGATGAATGTGACAGCAGATTGGAACAGGCACAGTGGTTTTATGATCTCCTACTTCGGTGCACTAGAAATGAGATTGTGGTGAAGCAGCCTATTCCATTTGGTGAGATTGAAATAGGCTCTTAACTCAGTTGATCATACAGCACTTTCCCCTTAACTAACTCATGTGCCATTGCCAGCCTGAAAAGTGTCAAATCAACTCGATCCATTGCTCTCTTCAAAATGTGCTGTCTCATGACGTATATTGCATGTAGCCCACAATTATTACCACCATAACTAACCCCTGTACTAACTCCAATGCATTTGCAGTCAGCACCAAATACGAACCTGAAGAATTTCTCGTGAAAGTGGCTATCATCGCTAGCAGCAATACTCGAATCGTAGAATCGCACCGTATTATCCTTCTTGGTGTAGATCCCAATGAACCAGTGTGCTCCATGTGTCTCCAAATCAGTTGCCATTGGGAAGAATATCTCATCAAACTGCTTCATGAAGTCAAACCACTCATCCACGTTGTTGAATGGCCTCTTATTCCTCTTATTAAGGATGGTGTAAGTATCATCACCATATTCCTGGTTGAGGAATGCTCTCAGAACTTCCTTATCAGGAACTACCCGGGTTTCAGTGTAAAATGTCAGTGGCATAGTCAGGTGCTCACACCTGTAGTAGAGGGCTTTATCTGGACTGGGAGTATGCTTCTCTAGGACACCCAAATAGTATTCAAGCAGGAAGTCATCTGAAATCTGGTGACCAGGAAGAAGGAAGCTCCACTGTTCCATATCAATCTTGGACTCGATCACCTTCTTATCATTTCGCTTACTTTTGATGTAATCGAATATCACATTGACGTTCTTGATTGGTTTATCAGGGAGATCAGCCAATTTGGTAAGTGCTGGTATCACAGTGGGGTACGAATTGAATTCGTAGATGATTGGTTTAGGAGGGGTGTAAGGAGGTGGAGGTGGCTTGACACCAGGACGCCTTCTTCCCTTCTTAGTTGTCTTCCCAGTACCATCTTTCTTAGTGCTCAATAGAACAATAAGCAGAATGATTAGAGTACAGACCAATATGGTGAGTACAGCAATTAGGATAGTGATTAATCTGTTCTTGTTAGATGAATTCATGTAAGGGGGGGTAAAGGAAAAATATTGAATAGAAAAATGTGAAGGTGGAATTACCACAGTATCAGGGAATACTCAGAAAGAGGTGAAATAAGCTTAATTGAACAAATGGGATACCCCTGATATATTATGCAAAATAGCAAATTTCGCCTAGCACTTTCAGCAGCAAAAGAGGGAGCAGAACAGAACGAGCTTCCTGTTGGATGCGCACTCTTCTACAACGGCATTCTGTTCAAGACGGAACACAACAAGACCAACGTAAATGAAGACCCATTGGCTCACTGTGAACTCCTTGTTTTAAGGGAGTTTATTCAGACTCACAATAATGTATCAGAATACAGTATGGAGTTATACGTCACCCTGGAACCATGTGTGATGTGTTATAGGGCATATAGTGATTTATGTGATGAGACACAGTCAGTATCAATCGTATTTGGGGCATATAATGAAATATTTGGAATGACAAAAGTGTTCAGAAATGGAATGAATACCAGTTTACTGTACAGGTGCATTGAGAGTGAAGAAGCAGTTGAAATTGTACGGGAATTTTACAAAAATAACAGAAATATAAGGGTAGGACAAGTATCAGGGGAATCAACCAGTCAAAATCGGTGATAATAGGCAGAATCAATTTTACCCCCAATGTCTGAATCAGTAGTCGTCCATCAAATCAACACGAACAAAATATGCATTTTGTTTATCATTACGCATATTTTCTATATAGTTTTATGCACTAGATTAGCCCACAGAAATAGGAAAATGAAACAGAGAAGTCAACTGATGAAAGAGCATCGGATGATGAACAGTGGGCTGATTGGGAGGCAGAGTGGTCGAAGCAGAGGCAGCTTCGTTGACGAGAGGGTGGTTTCGAACAAAACGAGCATCGATGTCCTAGTTCGAATCAGACCCAGTCAAAATGCAAATCCAGAAATAGCCCACCAGGGTAACTCAATTAGTGTCAGAAACAAACTGTTCTATTTCAATACCATTTACACTGGTGAAACAAATCAGGAGATATTCAGTAGCAAAATAGCAGATTTAGTCGACGTATTCAGTCAGGGTGGAAATGCAACTGTAATCGCGTATGGGCAGACTGGAAGTGGGAAGACTCACACGATGTTCAGCAACAAGGAGGATGTGGGATTGGTCTATCAGACACTTGCGTCTCTAGGAAGCAGAATCCATGACATAGAAATGTATGAGATCTACAATGAGAATATTTACGACCTGTTGAATGAGTACAACAAGTGTGAAATAGGTGAAGGAGGAATCAAGGGAATCAGAAGACGGGTAGTAGAAGAGAAGGAAGAAATGAGGGAGATTGTTGAAGAAGGAATGAAATATCGAACTACGAAATCAACGTGTTTGAATAGCTCATCAAGTCGATCCCATTTGATATTGAGAATAAGCAATACGCCAAATAGCAATAAGAGTGGTGTATTCACATTCGTAGATTTGGCTGGATCAGAACGAACTAGTGTGACAAATGAAGTAGGTGAATCAGAAAGAAGAAAAGAGAGCATTGAGATCAACAAGGGGCTTCTTGCCCTTGGAAATGTGATCAATACGCTTCATTCAAATCAGAGTGCCCTGAATCAGTCAATCTATGTTCCATATAGATCATCCAAATTGACTAGAATTCTGAAGGAATCATTAGTTGGAAATGTGCGATTTATTACCTGTGTGAGAAAGGACGTATCAAATACATTCGAATCAAGCAACTCATTGACGTATGCAGCACGAATGAGCAGTATCAAGGAGACATTTACGAGAAATAGGGTGGATATGTGTGAGACAGAGATGTTGAAGAGGGAAATAGAGAAGTACAAGAAGGAAGTATGCGAATTAAGGGAGTTTATTAGGAAGAATATGGGTGATAGGAGAAATATAGTGGAAAATAATAAGGTAGAAGAGAAGACTACTGAAATAAGTACTTCTGAGAATATCAGTAACAATCACCTTAGAAAACCAATTAAGGTGGAATTTGTTACTGAGCCAACTACGGCTGAATTCATCCAAAACAAGCACATTGATCCAATAGCAACCAAACCAACACCAATCAGAATCACCATTAGAGATATTGATCAATATAATGGTGGTCTAGTTGCATACACTGACAGGTGTGAGTTAGTCAGAATCACAAATGGATCCACTATCACCCCAATATGCAAAACAAGTCTCACAGCACTCCTTGTCACTGATGAATTGATCTATATTGGTAATAGAAATATGCTACGATCAATTGGTACAGGTGGAATGAGACTGATACGTGTATTCTCCCACAAAATATCCAATATATTCCCAAATCAGAATAACCTGATTATCAAACTGTCAAATAGAGTCATAGAGTACGATATCAACCATAATACAGAATCACTCCTATACAGTGGATCAAATATCAACCAGATTGTGGTATCAAATGAGACAGTCTACTTCATATTTGATAGACTGATTGAATACCGTAATAAGAGAGATGAATCCATTCCAATCTACACCAGTACTACCAGAATAATCAGAGTACTCCTACTGAATAGCACCCTGATATCAATTAGTTCTACTATTGCACTAATTCAGAATGATAGAATAGTGAGGGTGATTGAATCAGGTGGAATAGTAGATGGGTGTATTGATTCAGGTAGAATATTCACCCTATCAAAAGAGTACGTTGATGAATATGACAGTGATATGATCAAAATAAGGCGGTATTCAATACTACCCAACAAATACAGTAGAATCAGAGTATGTGGCACCAAGATGTATTTAGTAGGAGACCAGACTGATGTAGTTGATCTCATTGATCTGTAGCATCAGACTGCCTCCTGCCTATTCTGGCTTCTTATTCCATTTACTAGTTCGCGTATCACCCTTCTACACCTAGAGAGTCTACTGCTTACTGCCTCATTCACTCTCGTATAATACGATTGTATTCTACTAGTTATTCCACCAGTAATGCTACCACCTGATAGACCATGGGCGTAGTATTCAACTTGTACTTCCCTCATTCTCCTCTGACTGATCTCAGTCTCAATCCTATGCCACGTCTCCCTATGTCTGCTTCTGTTTGATGAATCATCTCTATCAAATACAGAATCATCAAATTGCTGACTGTGCTTCATTGAATAGGAGAGTGAATAAATAAAAATAGTAGTAAACACTATTAGGGGAAATATAGGGGTGTACTAAGTATAGTATAATATAATTAGGTAGTATGGTAGTTAGTATCGTAGTTACCTACTATACTTATTCTACCTACATATCAACTTACTCTAATTACTCTAATTACTCCACTACCACCCTGATGTTCTTGGTATTTGCTACCATTCTCTTTGGACTCCCCTTTCTCTTCCTAAACAGAATCAAATTCATCCTCTTCTCATCCTCAGTGCTCTCTTCACCACAGCAGAATATTCTACTCAATATCCCCATTCTTTCATCCTTACCATTTTTACCATTTTTACCTATTTTATCACTAGTCTGATCCAATAGCACCAAATAGTCAAATGCCTTATGATCAAAATCAACCATTGCATTATTAGTGCATCCTACTCTCATACCATCATTCCCACACTTCTCAATCTGCTCTACCATCTTCGTGAATTCGTGATCGTCCTCCTCCACTGATCCATCTTCGTGTTGAGCAATCTGCCTCTCAATTGGCTCCAGCTTCTTCCTCTCAATGAATGATGTCCTACTGACTTCATCCTCCCACTCCTGCTTCATCACCACCTCAATTGACTTGAAGTTACTCAATTTGTCACTGAATTCAGGATCACTATCAACAACGTGTCAGTGAAGGATGTATCAGTGAAGGAGTGTTCTGGAATGTAGTTGTTCTCATTCTCATTCTTACTAGTGTTCTTTGACATGGGTTAAATTAAATAGAAAAATGAGAATAGTAGGGGTAGTTACCTAAGTTGGTAGTTAGTAGGGGTAGTTACCCAGGTTGGTAGGGGTAGTTACCCTTCTACCCATCTATCTACCGTTCTACCTATCTACCGTTCTACCCATATATTTTCACCCCCATATAATGCCAATCAGATTAAAGGAGCCATCAAAATACCAAAACAGTGCTCCTGGCCTCCCTTCAAACTACAATTTCGAACTATCCAAGACACTTGGTCGCATTGAGAGGCTGATACGATCCAATCCATCACAGGCTACGACCACAATCACCCTCCAGTTTCCAGATGGCCTCCTCCAGTTCAGCCCAGTCATCTCTGACGTCATTCTCAGCAACTTTGATGTATCAGTTACGGTATTAAGTGACGTCATATACGGAGCATGCTGTGTCGATGACCACTACGAATCTGATTTACTNCCCCATATAATGCCAATCAGATTAAAGGAGCCATCAAAATACCAAAACAGTGCTCCTGGCCTCCCTTCAAACTACAATTTCGAACTATCCAAGACACTTGGTCGCATTGAGAGGCTGATACGATCCAATCCATCACAGGCTACGACCACAATCACCCTCCAGTTTCCAGATGGCCTCCTCCAGTTCAGCCCAGTCATCTCTGACGTCATTCTCAGCAACTTTGATGTATCAGTTACGGTATTAAGTGACGTCATATACGGAGCATGCTGTGTCGATGACCACTACGAATCTGATTTACTGATCCATTACGGCCACAGCTGTCTGATAAACGTGAATGAGATGAGCGTGAGTGTGCTCTACGTCTTCGTGGAGGTGGCATTTGAGACTGATCACCTGATGGAGATGATTTGTAGGGAATTTGTAGAAAAAGGAAGTGGGCCACTTTCACTGATTTCAACGGTGCAATTCAATTCACTAACTAACGGTGTGGCACACGCAGTGAATAGAATCCATTCTGGAAGTGTGATAGTCCCACAAGTCAGGCCTCTTTCTCGTGGAGAGGTGCTTGGATGCACGTCTCCTGTGATTCGGACTGAGAATACGCTCTACATCGGTGATGGTAGGTTTCACCTTGAGGCAGCAATGATAGGAAACAGGGGCACGTTCTACAAGTACTGTCCATTCAGTAGGAGGATGACACGAGAGGAGTACGACGTAACGAGGAAGATTGAGACGAGGAAGAAGGCAGTTGAGTCGTTTAGGAAGAGTGAGAGTGTTGGAATCGTAATGAGTGGATTGGGGAAGCAGGGTAATAGGTTACTGGTAAAAAGAGTAGGAGAATATATTAGTAGAAATATGGGTGAATGTAGGGTGTACAGGATATCAGTTAATGAGGTATCAGGGGAGGTGTTGGATGCGTATTCGTTCATAGACGGATTTGTTCAGGTTGGGTGTCCTAGGCTGAGCATCGATTGGGGTGAGTCGTATCATAGGCCACTTTTGAATCCATACGAGTTGATGGGGCTGATTGGTGATCAATATGAAATGGATTATTACAGTAAGGAGGATGTGAAACCATGGGGTAGTTACTACGGTTGAAATGGTTATAGTGAAGTGAAATGGTTGATAGTAAAGTGAAATGGTTATTAATAAAGTAAAATGACTATTTTATACCCCTCCTTCAGTATGGTAGACATTATTGTACTACCAGATTCCAAGGAAGAATACTGGTCTAATTAGTAGGCTACATATTTTACTAACTAAATTGTTGCAGTTTATTTATTACTATTTAGTTAGTATAACTTACACTCTCCTGTAAATCTGTCTATTTCTTCTGAATAATCTGGTCCAATACCAATCACCGTATTGGATCCAGCCTTGATTTGCGTCCTTCCTGCATCAGTGATCATCACGTAATTAATCAGATCATACTCGTACAACTTGCTGTATATCCCATTGAATGCCCCCACATCCGCCTTTACCACCACCTTGGCACATCCACTCCTCTTCCACTTGCTGTACATCCCCCTTATCTCCCTGTTTTCCATCACTCTTTCCACTATTCCATCATACGCGTGCATACACTGTGATATCACTTTACCCTTTTTCATTCCTAGTGAATTATTGACTAGAAATACCATTTTGAGACTATTCTGCTTATTGAGGGTAGAATAATGAATTCTACTTCTGGTTGTTTCACTATTCTGGTTCAGGAATATGCTACTGATTTGTCTACTAATTTGCTTACTGAGTCTTCTTCCTACTGCTATTCCAATAATGATGAAACACGTACAAAGTACAAGTGGAATCATTGGGATAAAAATAGTTTAGCCCATGATAGGAATTGGTGCTGTTATTGGGGTGATATTGCGTAACAATGACAGGTTTCAGATCATGGAAAGTAGTTCATTGGGTATAGTACCAGTTGAAGGGGGTGGATACCAGTTTGAGACCAAGAATGAGACTGAAATAGTCTATGAAGGAAGAAAGTACGTGATACCAGGGAGAATGAGGGTGGAGGCCATTGATAGGGCAATGACTGTAAGAAAGAGTATCAGGTCGAGTACACTGATATCAAAGTATGGTAGATATGGATTATGTAGAACAGTTGATGGGATTAGGATGGAATTTGGGTATGAATTGGGTGGAATTAGGATGGTGTGTAACAAGGATATGATCAAATTGATCAATATTGGTGATAAGCGTATTATTAGTGTTGAATCAGGTTTATTCTATAATGATACAAGACACCTTAGGATATTCACAACATACTTTGATACTGGTTTAGAGTGGATTAATGTTGAATCAGACACCAATTTGATTAGTAGGGGAGATATCAGTGCTTATGTTAATCAAATTGGTAGTGGAATAGTAGTCATATTGGGGATATCAGTGCTTATATTCATAGGATGGCTGTACTACAAGGGTACTAAGTGGGTAGAATAGTAGAATAATAGCTACTATAATAGTATAATAGCTACTATAATAGAATAGTAGGTAGTATAATAGAATAATAGGTAGTATAGTAGTATAATAGCTACTATAATAGAATAAGTACAATAACATGTAAATTACTATTTACATCACCCTATTCAACTACTCATTTATCATACTCCCCCAATATCAGCCCACTTTCCTCTATTCTTTTATCTAGAAACCCCCCTGTTCTCTTCCTTGCTATCCTCAATAACTCTCCTATTCCTTCATACTCAATACTGTACTCCTTAATCTCATTCCATAGCATATCAACCAATACGTACGTGTTATCATCGTCCTTGTCTATTTCGTACTTATCCAGTACCACTCCAAGTGTCTTCAACCTGTATGAATCATTTATGATTGTATCCTTGTATAGAACACTCTCATAAATGAATCTGAGTCTCTCTCCTGATAATTCTGCTCCTGATACAATCCCATACATCCACCTACAATCAATTCTATCGTGATTCAAGACGTACTCGTAGATCAAGTCATCCAAAACAATTTCTGGTACTCTGCTTAGTATCCAGTCACACACTTCTACAACATCCTTGATAGACGGATTGAAGAATATCAAGTGGGCATTGTCTAGTACCAAATTGGTATCACCCAAAATTGAGTCAACTTCTATTTCCCTCATTTTTGGCCCATGTTTCTTGATGATTATTTAGTAGAGCACACTCTCTATGGCCGTGTTACTGATATCACTGCCTATAACGAGGTGGAAGTGATGGTACCCCGTAAGTCACCTGATGAGTTATTCAGGGGGAGACTGATACGAGTCAAACTAATTGGAGTTGAATCAGCATCAGTCAGTAGGACACTACTTCTTCAGTCTAAGGCGTATTTGACTAAAATGATATTCAATATGAGGGTGAGAGTGGTATTGGTAAGGAATAGTGGAATAATGTGTGGTAGAATAGAGTACAATGGTAGTGTAGATGTGAATGATAGAATAATGGGTGTAATAAGAAGATTGGAGGAGTACAATGAGTGTGATGGTGATAGTGATAGTAGTGATAGTAGTAATATTATTACTGATACTATCACTAATAATACTGTTCATAATAATGCCTCCCTTCTTACACTATTGTATATCCGGAATAAATATGTCCTAAATTCAATTCACATGGACATTGAGACAGATGAATTCAGGGAGGTGACTCGTGAGAGCAACTGGATTTATAGGGCACTGGAAGAAGGAAGGGAAGTAGAAAGAATAAGGAGGAAGCAGGAGAGGATAAGAAGGATTCTAGTAGAAAAAGGAGTATGTAATAAGTAGGTGAAGTGATAATGAATACTACTCATTTTTATTCCTAACTATTCCACTAACGTATTCCATGGCATCTGATCCATATTTACCAGTGATCATTTTGATCAAATCTGTTTCAAATTGATTAGCAGCCTGTAGAATATCAGTATGATCTGAATTATGAACCAATTTGGTGAACTCAGCTGCTGCCTGGAAGTCAGTCTTATCAAATTGTGGTGATCTACCACAGCAAATCACTGTTTCTGGTTCAACTGGAATGGAAATGGTGAATGGGCTGAAATGACTGGTTTGCTCAAGTGAGGGCTGATTTGAACTGTAGAAGGCATCTCCATCCAACTTGTAGGCCACTCTTCTACTTCCTGTCTTAAGAGTGGCTTCTGATCTAACTCCCCCTACTTCTGTGAATCCAATTCTGTTTATTCTACTGGTGTTATTCAACTGGAATTGTGCCTTGATTTCAGTATCAATTATTCTATCAAATTCATTACTGGTGTTCTTGCTATTGATCCAGTTTGACGTATTGAAGATGTTGTAGACCTGGTTGCACGTCTTATCCAGGGCAACCAGGGTGCTGAATACAAACTGGTTTGATACTATTCTAGTAATAAATGCATCCTTATCTGATTCAGTATTTCTGTAGGCTATTTTACACCTGCTATTCTCTGGTATCAGTTCTCTATTGATGTATGTGCCAGTGATGATAGGATACTCATTCTGGGTCACTCTGATTATTTGGCTTATTTTGGAGTTGATGATTAATTTGACTAAATCAGCCGTATTGGTGCTGGTGAATTCAAGGATGATTTCTGAACTATTTTGCTTGATTTTTAGTAGGGTGCTTTTGGAATGGACTGATAGAATGGTACTGTATTCGATGCTACTGTTGTTGACTACGATTGATTCATCTGATATTCTTAGCAATGTGACTGTATTCTGCAACTTGCATTGGACTGAGACTGACATGGGTGAAAATGAGTTTCACTTTTTCCCTATCATTTTTATCTTGTACTTCAGGTTTCTGTACATGGCTGGTCCCATTTTGATGATTGTTTCGATATTTGATACGTTCTTAAGCTGGTTTCTATGGTAGTATTTGCTGGCATAGAGGTGTGGATCAGTTCTATAGAGTGGTAGATCAACAGGGGCATTCTCAACATTCTCATTCTGAGCTGCCTTGGAATTGAAGAAGTGGACACAGGGTATTCCAGTCTCCTTGTATTTGGTACACTCAAATCCATCACAGTCTCCTATTGCATTTTGTAACTGATTATTATGAACTATTTCTAGCACATTATCAGAGAGTATTTGATCAGAATACTCTGATTCCCGTTCCAGGTGATCTTCTTTGATGTGCCAGATCAGCAGATTCAGGAAATCGAAGAAGTCGAGGAGGGCCATTTCGTCACAGAGGAACTCGAAGTCACTGCACCTGGTATTGTTGAGAAAAAAGGTGTTTTCCCTGGATTTGAACCTGAGAAAGTGCTTTGGATCAAGATTGATCAGTTTTCTGCTATCAGCACAAATGTCCTTGATATTTGGGTAGTTGAGTAGTAGGAAGTAGTCGAGTGGATCTATTTCATCCAAATCAGTCTCATCAAGGAAGTTGATCAGAGAATGTGATTTGATTAAGTATTCGACCTGTGACTTCTCCAATGCCTCTATTTCAACTGGATCAAATTCAGTCAAAAAGAGCACCTTTTGACTCTTTTCAATTTGGATGAACTTGTTCAAGGCCTTTTCCTTCACTTTTTCAGAATCCATCTCTTTCTTCTGCATCAGTAGGACACTGGCAATGATTGGCTCATCATTTGGACAGAATGCAATTCCAAGAATCAGGGCGTATTGGCTGAATAGAAATGGCTTGATTTCACGAACTGGTCTGAGATACTTTGAGAACTCGTTGTTGTTGAAGTAGTAGAAGTCGTCTCCCAGGGCACTGGTGAATGATGGATTTGCTGCCCTGAATTCCCTATCAAACTCCTTGAGGCAATTTTTGACTAGGAAATCCACATTTCCAAATATTTCAGTCGTATTCAGGAGACTGCCTGGACTCTCGTTATTCTTCCTGTATTGGACAAATGAGTAGGTCTCAAAGTAGCCTACTGAATAGTTCAGCCCCATCAGCCTGTTTGTTAATTCGCCTATGGTCATATTGTTGTTCATTTTGGTTCTGTACCCTCCTACGTTGCTCAGGTAGTTGAAAATGCATTTAGCTACAACCTCAGTGTTCATAGAGCACTTGTGATTCAGATTCAGCCTAATAATTTGGTATTTGCCAGTGAAAGTGTTGAATACGCCATTGATGATTGCCTCACACTGGTTATTCTCACACACAAATGAGACCATTCTCTCATTATTCACAATTACTCGTAAAATTGAGTTATCTTTGGCTATTTCAGTCATTTTGTTGAACATCTCGTTCTTGGTGATGTACGAGTAACCATTTGCCAGTCTCGGCGTGCTTGCTTTGATTTCAGTATGATTTTGCATAAAGGGCTAAAAACAAAATTATTATTGGAATTCAGGTGGCATCCAATGACTACCATAACTAACCAATGGTCTCTGTTCTCTATCATCAACTCTCCTACTATTCATTCAATTGGTCTCTGTCTTATTGTCCTAGTCTTCTTAGACAGGGGCTACCTCTAAATTGTGTTTCTTTATATGCGAATTAAGCTTAATATCATCTATGCGCATAATCCACTCTTATTTACTCTCTTTCGTACTTATTTTTAGGTGTTGGCTCATTCAACTCCTCTCTGTGAAATATGCAGCATACGTTTGACTTCTTCTTGTTCATCTTTGAATTGTCTACTGTATCTGCTCTCCATGTCACCTTCTTCTCTCTCACCAGCTTCAACTTGACTATTTCGCCCTCTACAGTTTTCTGTATACTTTTTGTTTTCTGCTTTTGTTGTGGCATACCTGGGTAACTGGCGTAGTAGAATAACAATAGTGATTCTATTTGGTGCATTTGACTAATTGAAATATTAATAGAAGCATGAAATATAAGAAGCACTTCTATTTATCCCATGTTTTACTGGATTATTGGAATGGTAAGGTGCGCTAATAGCAAATTAGTGATACCGGATGCAACTGATTTATCCTATGAATCAACCATTCTTTTAGAGAATCAAACAACTGAATACTACCACAGCAAACTGACAGTAGTAAAGAATGAACTGACACACTCATTAAAGAGATTGAATGAGAAGAAACAGGAATTGAGTGAATGTTATGAAATCAATTGGAATGAGGTGAACGAATACCTGTTAAAGATACAGGTTCAAAACAATAATCTTAATGGTTTTAGAAAGAGAGTCTATAGTAATTACAAGGAATCAAGTATTGCTGATCAAAGCTGTGATTATCCGATTTATTTGATATTCTTAGAATGCAATACGTTATCACTGGAATGCATTCAAGTATCTAATGAAATACGTAATGATATCATGATATAACCAAATCATAAAATTGATTAACTACCCCCATGTTTTACAGTTTTCTTTTTATTGCTGTAAATTGTATCTTGATGACTTGTTCATCTGCTCTACACTTCTACTACGTTACAGAATACAACATTGATGGAGTTGAACCAGGTGAAACAGTCTCATATTACACCAACAAGGTATCTCAGGCAATCTGTGATTTACACAAAATAAATCGCATCATATTTCAGTCTCATTCTGAATTATCAATAATATCAAAGATGAAAAGGAATAAGACAACAAGGAGTAGAATGGGTGTCCTGAAAGGATATGTGATGGAGACTAAATGGAATCTAGCTATAATTGATAATTATGTTAAACGGGTGATGATTGAATGGTCAAAAGTTGATAAATCAGTTGCCCTGAAAAAGAAGAAGAATGAATTTGATGAGAAATTAAGGCAAATTGATGAATCAAATGCATTATTTGATACAGAATGGAATAAGCTGAATATTTTTCAGGTTGAATAATTATGATGTGATAGTTTATGCACCCTTTAAGCTTATTTTGATGACGTAATTTAAAAATGAAAATTTTGATCCCATGGCCACACCAATTGTAGGAGCACCAGAGCCACTTGATATCCGACACATCTACACGAAGACCAGCATTGTTAGCAGAGTTCCAAAGCGGTTGTACTGCTTCAAATGCGACCAACTGCGTCAAGTCAAAAGATACAGTTTCATTGACAAAATTAAGCACAAGCTGCTTCCACAAGGAACCAAGAGACCAAAATGCAGCACATGCAACGGACAATTCAACGTAATTCACGTCAAAATGTCTCCAGTATCAAAAATAGAGAGATTTAGGATGTTCTGGAACAGAATTATCCAGAAACTCCTAAGTCACCCTGAAAAAGTCAAAAATAAATAAACACCCTTGTTTCCACTCTTATTCCATCCCCTTGAATTCTCGTAAATAGTCGTATTGTTCATCGTCTACTCCATAATTGTACAGTATCCATATCATTACGAATAAGAATACCAGTAGTATCACGTATTTAGCCATCTAATTGTTTACCAGTATCATTTTAGTTACGAAACTCAAACAAAACATTCTCCTTATCTTAATTAATATCTATCTAATATTGTGATCGTTGCCAATACCCCTTTTGGAGTATATAAGAAGAGGCGTATTGGCCCCATGTCTGATTGCTACTGCTGCTTATGGCCTATTGAGTTTGGTTGGGAGGACTTTCCAGTTCCAATTGATACCCCAGAAGGATATCCTGATCCGCCTAAGAACATTTTGTTTCCAGCTTGCTACAAAAGATGCAATACCAGATACGTTCGAACTACCACATTTTGCTCATTCTGCTTCATTCCATGCACATGCTGTGACTGTGGATCAGAGGAGCCAAGCGTAGCCTGTGAAAAGTGCCTATCAATTTATACGAATGTTTCATTCATAAATTGCAAGGAATGCAATCACGCTATGACAGTCAGTGAGAGATATTGCACCAATTGTGGATCACAAAATGATAGATACGGTGGGTACAAGAAGCAGGTGGTTGATGATCAGAATTTGGTATTGGCATCAGAGTATAAAATCAGAAAGAGGAAGGAAAAAGAAGAAAAAGAAAAGAAAGAAAAGAATAAATGACTGGGAAAGAAGGCCTGTTTATTTTATTAGGGAATTCTGGTAGAAAAGTGCCCTAAAAATATTTGACTATTTCTCCTTTATTCTAATACTTGATCAATATTGATCACACCCTTTAATGACAAATTGCTTCTGTTGCATCTTTCCATGGGAAATTGGATGTGAGGACGTTGAGAATAACGTGGTGCTGCCTCCAGATTACGATGGATCACCTAAGAATGTGCTATGCCCAAATTGCTGTAGCAGAATGGATCCAGTATTCAAGGCAACAACGCAGTATTTTTCAATCTGTTTCATTCCATGTGCATTCTGCCCAATGAGGCAAACTGCGCCCTACTTGGCCTGTCCAAATTGTGGCGACAGATTCAAAGCACACAGCTTTAGGACGTGCCAATCGTGTCAGGCATCGATGTCAGGTGGTGAAGAATACTGCAGTCGATGTGGTAAACGCAATTGCTATGATTAAAATAAATCAATCATATTGAAATATGCCAATATTTGATTAGCCTATAAAATATTATTTAAAGGGCGTAATATATCAACTGACTATATCAACNTATTCAAGGCAACAACGCAGTATTTTTCAATCTGTTTCATTCCATGTGCATTCTGCCCAATGAGGCAAACTGCGCCCTACTTGGCCTGTCCAAATTGTGGCGACAGATTCAAAGCACACAGCTTTAGGACGTGCCAATCGTGTCAGGCATCGATGTCAGGTGGTGAAGAATACTGCAGTCGATGTGGTAAACGCAATTGCTATGATTAAAATAAATCAATCATATTGAAATATGCCAATATTTGATTAGCCTATAAAATATTATTTAAAGGGCGTAATATATCAACTGACTATATCAACCTATTCTATCAACTGACTATATCAACTTACTATATTAACCATAATTTTGATCACTTATTTCGCCCCTTTTTAATATTGATTTATGACTCATACGTATCCCTTTTATGTCCAACTGCTTCTGTTGCTTCTGGCCTATTGAGTTTGGCTGCGAAGAGCTTGAATCCGACGCAAAGCTGCCATCTGATGCCAATGCGCCGCCTAAGAACGTGCTTTGTCCAAGCTGCCACATCAGAGTTGATCCAGTCTACAAGAGGAAGACGCAATACTTCTCCTTTTGCTTCATTCCATGTGCTTGTTGCCCTTGTNTATCAACTGACTATATCAACTTACTATATTAACCATAATTTTGATCACTTATTTCGCCCCTTTTTAATATTGATTTATGACTCATACGTATCCCTTTTATGTCCAACTGCTTCTGTTGCTTCTGGCCTATTGAGTTTGGCTGCGAAGAGCTTGAATCCGACGCAAAGCTGCCATCTGATGCCAATGCGCCGCCTAAGAACGTGCTTTGTCCAAGCTGCCACATCAGAGTTGATCCAGTCTACAAGAGGAAGACGCAATACTTCTCCTTTTGCTTCATTCCATGTGCTTGTTGCCCTTGTGGACAATCTCCACCTTATTTGGCATGCCCAGAATGTGATTATCACTTCTGTTCGTACACGTTCAAAACGTGCAGTAACTGCCAGGCATCAATGGATGGTGGCGAGAAGTTCTGTGGAAACTGTGGAGTACGCGCTTAAACAGAAAACAAATTAGAGACACATTCCCATTTTATTTATTCTTCCTATTTTAGTCATTCTTCCCTATAAACCCGTTTGACTCCTCCATTTCCCTGATAATTCTTCCAATAGCACCCTTCTGCTTACCAATTATTCTCAATACTCTTTCTCTATACTTCTTATCGTATTTCACCTCTCCTAATACCCTATTGAACATCTCAGTATCCTTAATCTGCCCATTCTTAACCAACATTTCACCAATATCATTCACGTTCTTCAGAATAGCCTTGTTGTACTCCTTATACAGCAATTGGAACTCCTTTCTTTCATCCTCCTCCACTTTCATTAATTCGACCCAATTGCTCTTAATCAGGTGCATCTCCTTCAGTTTGACCATTTCAGCCTTTGATGGAATACTCCTCTTCACAAATTGGAGTACCTTGATTTGTTGGCTATTTCCTACTATTATACTGTTAGTATCAGCATTATCAGTGATATACCATGCATTAGGCAGATTATAGTTGTACCAGACAACCTGTTTCTCCTTATTGAATACTTTGACTATATCAGTGAATGCTACAAAATACTCATTGTTCCAGATATAGCAGTTTACGGCTGGTCTCTTGATTCCATAGGCTTTCAATTCAACCAAATCATGTCCAAGTATCTTAACATGCCTATGGCCGCCAATCATGATGAATTTATCAGTTGAATACACTGATATTGGCTTATTGATTGGAATTGTGTGACTGAGACTGCTCTTCTTGTAGAAATAGACGTGTGAATCAGCACAGCCAACTGCCAGGTGGCCACAAGTAAACTTAATAAAAGTGATTGAGTTATCGAGTCCAACCAAAATACTGTTGTTGAGAACAACCGTGTTATTCCTCAGTCCAACAGCCACCTTTTCACTCTCACAATCAAATTCGACTATTTCGTCTTCTGCTTCCATTATCACATTCAGGGCGTAATTCTGATCCATTTCGTACAACTTATTTTCTACTGAAATCATCAACTTGTTATCAATACATTTCATGCAAGAAATAAGCTTATTTGCCCCTATTTCCACTACTTTTATGCTCTCAAAGATGCTTCCTAACTTCTCAGCAAATCGTAATTCCCCATCATTTGTTGACGTAACCACCATGTTATTCCAAACCACCATTCCAGTCATGTTCTCATTGAAACTGAGTATTTTACCATCATCCCTAATATTATTTGTGGTATTTTGTACCATTTCACTACAGTCTTCTTTCTTCTGTTCTATCACATAATACGCCTTATTCCCACTCTGAATCACCACATCTTCCCCTCTCTCTTCCACCAAGTCTATTTCTTCCTCGCTATTCTTCCTTTCAAATATTCTACTTCCCTTATAGTTGTATACTACTGCATTATCACCATTATATGCCCCAAAATAGAGTCTGCCTAGCATAATACGTTCTGGAATGAATTCAGTTGAGTAAGTGGCAATCTTGTCACAGTTATTGCTCCTATAAAGAATGATTTTCATGTCCGTTTTTGATACGCATATTCTGGTTTCATCTACTGCCACTGCTGTGATCTGTGTCCTACTCATGTTGATGGTGTTGATCAGTTGCATACTGCTTATGTTGAATATGCTGATGCAATTGGTACAGACGTATAATTGATCATTTTGGATTAATAGTGCTGAAATATTGTCAAAATTATACTGTGATTCTGTTGATGTCTGCTTGTTGAATACGTGTAACTTGGTTTGACTTGAATAGATGAATAGATCATTATTGGATGTGTAGACTGTTGGCATGATACTGTTGGTACAGGATGATTCAATGAGATCGACATGCATGAATTGGGATAAAAATTTGTAGAATACTTTAGGCAGCATGTTGTGATAGTCTGATTGAGTTATAGTGGATTACTAAAACAATATTCCAGAAATTATTTAAATAATTTTCTCTTTTTAGGCCATGATATTACTCATATTACTTCGTCTCTTACAGTTTGCTTCAACTGATCAGGTAGCACCTGTTACAGTACAAATCAGTGATTTATCACTTAAAATAGCGACTATTGAGAGTAAAAAGGCTGAATTGGAGTTGGATCACGTTGAATTAGGTGTTGAAATAGCAAAAATGGAACAGATCTGTAAAGTGTGTACAGTGAACGAGGGTTTCATTGAAATGCTGTTTGTGGCACTGAATAAAGCAAGGGATGAAGACATTCTTATACCTGAAACTCTTCAAAAATTAGAGTATAAGGTAAGAACCATAATAGAATTCAATGATTTCAATTATATTGATTTCCTTGATATGGATGACTACATGTTTGCAGAACAGGCTAAGATAGCAGAATCAATAGCAAAAACGTATAAGAAGGAATATCACAGACTTTATAATAAAATAGCTATCAAGGAAACGGAGATGACGAATATAAAATCCAGGATTGGAAAATGCCAAAGGGCGTTGAAAGCATTGGATTCGAAATTGAGGAGACTAACTAATAAATAATATAAGGTGTATTAATCAGTAGCATTATTAATCATGTGATCAAATAATTTATTGGTAAATAATGAACATTAATTTAGTTAGTGATTTGCCTAATATCAATTATTTCTTTTTTGGGTTTTGCTTGAGCTTCTTCCTTGCCTTTTTGGCATTAATAGGAAGTGCTATATCTTTGTTTTTGTCTTTCCTAAGGCGTATTTTGGCTTCTTCTTCAATAGCCTCTTCGTGAAGTGGCTTTGCTGCCCCTCTCTTCCTGTTCTTCGGTAAAACAAATGGAATCTCAGGTTCCTTCTTTTCTTCTGGCATATCTTGAACAGTTTCTTCTGGTATACCAGGTACCATCTCTTCTAATTTATCTGCTTCTTTCTTTCTCCGTGCATTGGCTTCTTTGATCATCTTTAGTTTTTCTTCTGCTTTTCCTTTAATCTTCCTGTTCTGTATGATTCGTTCTCTTTCCTTTTTCATTTTCGCTCTCTTTTCTTCCAAATTCTTCTTCATAGCCTCTTGTGCTTTCTTGGGTATTTTTGACTTGATTCTTGGATTTACTATCGTAGGTTTGTCTCCTACGGGTATATTTGCAATTTCTCTTTCTGGTACATTTGTCACTTCTTCTACTGGTATATTTGGTGCCATTGTTTCTTCTACTGGCATTTCTGCTTCTTCTACTGGTATATCTGATTCCACTACTGGCATTTCTGCTTCTTCTACTGGTATACTTGTTTCTTCTTGTACTATTATTCTAGGAATATCTTGTTCAATTTGCTCTTTTGGCTTAATAGGCAATGGTATTTCTTCTTCTCTACCAGTTAATGGTCTTCGCTGTACCTTGTACCCTATGCCTCCTCTGTTTTTATTCTTCTTTTGTCGCAACATTTTGGTGTGTAATTCTTCCCCTTGTTCCACTGTTTCCTGGGGTTTTGTTTCCATAGCTGCTTCTAATTCAGCTGCCTCTTTCAGCTCATCTGCCAAACTACGTGGAAGTGGTGTCCTCACGAGTATACTGCGAGAGCTCCTGGTTGATCTACCTCTTGATTCTGGTTTATATGGGCTTTTAAGTAGTTCTGGTGTTGATTCTCTTTTTCTTTCTTCTATTCTTTCTCTATTCCTTTTAATTTCATTGATATCATCATCGCTCAGTGATTCAGCTGTTATAAAATCAGCTGTTCTAGCCAGTTGGCTTCAACCTCTGTTAGATCTTTTTGATTTTGTAAAAGTGTTCTGTTTTCTTTCCTTTTGTCCCTTTCCTTGTTTTGCTTCAGTCTTTTTGCTGCTGTAACATCATCTGGGGTTTTGTCTTTGTTGATTATTCTTTTTGCCTTGTTTATTTCACTATTGCATTTCTTAATAACTTTCTTGGAAATTGCTATTTTGGTAGTTAGGTGTGTGATTTGTTCATCTAAATCCTGTTTCATCTGAACTAGGATATCATAGGTCTCTGTGTTTAAGCGTGGATTGACTTCAACTTCTATAGGAGATTCGGCTGGTGCTGCAAACATTTCTTCTTGCTGTAATCTAAGTGCTTCTTGCTCTCTTGCTTCTTGCTGTAATCTAAGTGCTTCTTGCTCTCTTGCTTCTTGTTGTATTCTTAATAGTTCTTCTTGATTTTTTGCTTCTTCTCTTTCTCTTCTCAGTTTTTCCTGTTCTTTTTGTACTCTTAATACTTCCTCTTGTTGCCGTTTTAAATCTTCTTGTTGTTTTCTTAGTATTTTCTGTCTCTCTTTTTCTGCTATTCCTTCTTGCTGTTTTTGTACTCTTTCCTGATATCTTTGATTAGCTTCTATCTCTCTTTCTTGTCTTAGTTTTTCGTTCTCTTTTTGCTGTCTTTCTCCTTCT